ACACACACACACACACACACACACACACACACACACACACACACACACACACACACACACACACACACACACGCGTTATTCTGACCATAAATAAATCCCGGAGGTCACTTTTCAAAATAAAAGTGCTGATAAAAAAAAAAAAGACGATGAAAATTATTTTATAAAATGCACACGTGTGATTTTACAAATATTTAAAAAAAAAATATATATATATACAGCAATACGCTCGTATTAATTATTTTAACAATAAAAGAGGCTAATGAGTTATTCCGGTCCACCTGATGTCGCTGTTTAATGTAGAAGTCTTATATCATGAATATTAATTAAATCCCGCTAGGAGCGTCCAATCATTAAAAGCGATCGGCATCATAATCGTTCGTTCATTCGCCTGTCGATTAGCGCCCGCCTACTGACGCTTGTCCTTAAGCCAATCAGTTCGGAATACTTACGAACGTCACGTAACGTAATTAATATTCATGAGAAAACCTCCGCCATAGTAGAAGAAAGTTTCAAATTAGAAATGGATTCTTTCTCACTGCAGCCACCCTCTACTGTGTTTTTTGATTTAGAGACAACTGGTTTAGGTATGTCATTTTATAAACAAAATCATTATCAACCACGAGAAATATGCAGAATTATGTACTTAAACGGTTGAATGAATCAAGCAAACAAAAAAGTTAGCCTATCTATGGCCGTGTTGCAGCATTCTTGGGCATCAAATTCTCAAATCCTAGACTATAAAATATTTATTCCTATTATTTATTTATAATTGTATGTAAATGACCTTTCAGAAATAATTCGAATATGCTGATAATCAGTTTTAATAATGGTCTAATTATTATTAACGTTAAAAACTGTTTTTGCTGTCAATAATTCAGCTTTGCGTCACAGGAATACATTACATTTTAAAATATATTAAAATAGAAACCAGTTATTTTATGTTTTTTTTAATTATTATATATTTTTGCTTAAATGTTACTTGTTGTTGCCAGTGTTGGGGAGTAACTAGTTGCATGTAATAGAATTACGTAATTTAATTACAAAATAAATGTAACTGTAATCTGTTATTAAGACTTGTGAAGGTCTGACAGTAATCAGTGTTAGTACTGCTGTGAGGATAACCCGGCCTGCTTTAAATGTTTCAAAATGATTAACAGTTTAGAAAAATGTAGAAGAAAAATAGAAATTTAAATTTAGAAAAGTAATCAAAAAGTAATCAGTTACTTTAACAAAGTAATTGAAATAGTTACACTACTTATTACATTTTAAAGGGATAGTTCACCCAAAAATTACCCCCAGGGCATCCGAGATGTACGTGACTTTGTTTCTTCAGTAGAACACAAATTATGATTTTTAACTTTAACCGTTGCAGTCTGTCAGTCGTATAATGCACGGCAATGGTAATAAAATCTATGAGAGTAAAAAATGTAAAAAAACATGCACAGACAAATCTAAATTAAACCCTGCGGCTCGTGACGACACATTGATGTCCTAAGACACGAAACGAGCAGTTTGTGCGCGAAACCGACCAGTATTTATATAATTTTTTACCTCTAATACACCACTATGTCCAACTGCTTTTAGCGCACGCACGATATCCGGTGCGTGAGGTGTTTTATATCTTTAAAATGAGGTGTTGTAGGTACGACGGCTAATCAAAATGGTACTTACTTGCGCTTATTTCTGGCACAAACCGATCGTTTCGTGTCTTAGGACATCAATGTGTCGTCACGAGCCGCAGGGTTTAATTTGGATTTGTCTGTGCATGTTTTTTTTTACTCTCATAAATTTTGTTACCATTGCCATGCATTATAACGACTGACAGACTGCAACGGCTGGAGTTCAAAATCTCCGTTTGTGTTCTACTGAAGAAACAAAGTCACCTACATCTTGGATGCCCTGGGGGTAAGCAGATAAACATCACATTTTCATTTTTGGGTGAACTATCCCTTTAAATAGGGTAACTTGTAATCTGTAACCTATTACATTTCCAAAGTAACCCTCCCAACAATGCTTATTGCATATATTGTTCATCTCCAGATGCCTCGTGTGATATCGTCCAGCTGGCCGCAGTGAGTGGAGGTCACACTCTTAACCTCTTCATGGTTCCCCGTCGGCCGATGCAGCCCGGGGCATCCAGGATTACGGGTTTCAGTGTGAGACGCCAGCGTTTGTTTCTCCATCACAGGCCGGTGCTCACCAGCTCTCTCCGAGAAGCCCTGGTCTCCTTCATAACCTTCCTCCGGATGTTGGGTCGGCCGCTCCTGGTGGGTCACAACATCCGCAGGTTTGACTGTCACGTTTTGGCCAGAGCTCTGGATGAGTTCAGCCTGAGGTCAGACTTCCAGAAAGAGGTTTCTGGATTCGTGGACACCCTTCCTTTGGCCCGTCATCTTCTCAAAGACAGTGGCCTCCAGAGCTTCAAGCAGGAGAACTTGGTTAAGACCCTCCTGGGCGTTTCATATGCGGCCCATAATGCTCTAGAGGACGTACAAGCCCTGCAGAAACTCTACTGGGCCCTCAAGCCCACAGCCAATCAGATTCATCAGCACATTTTCACTCTCGACTCATTGGCTACTGCAGCTGTCAGTCAAGCTCCAGGTAGACGGAGAGGTTTATGTGAGCGTTTCAGTAAAGCGCTGGATATTGCAAGAGAAGAAAGAGCAGAGGAACGTTTGGACGTCTGATTCATGATTAAACGTGTTAAAGCACACATCACTTTAATTTAAATCAGTATTTATAAAGTTAAGATGCTTTTATTGTGCAATATTGTTCATTGGTAATATTTTGTGTGGTTATGGTTATCAACGAATTATATATTTATGTTTTTAAGTAAATAAATGTTTTTAAATATTCGTATATTTGATTATTTTTTTTATATTCAATTTAGTTATTTAATAAATTGTATTTATATATTTTATTTGTATTTTGATTGTTTATATAATTTTAAATGCTAATATTTGTATTCATTATCATTTATTTTTTTTATAATTTCTCAAATCTTAATTTTATAAAATGTTTATTTATATAATTGATCATTTTACGTAAACGATCCTTCGGAAATCATTCTAATATACTGACTGGTGCTCAGCTTTTATCAATTACTATTGATGAGTTATGTATATTATATTTAAATGTTGTATATTTAATTGAAATTATTTATTTATTATTATTGTAGTTCTAGTATATGTGAATTTTTTTTTTAATTAATACATTTTATTTATTATTCTTATTTTAATTATAAATTTTTTTAATAGTCGATAATCAATCTGATTTTGGGAGGAGGCCCATAGGGATCAACTATTAACCTTCATTAACATATCAGGACTAGATCTTCACAACCTAATGAATTTGCTTAGTAAAATGGTGCATTTTTCTAGTAAAATTTGAAATTTTGTTAAAGCAATTTGAAAACAAAATTACATGTAACATACAGAAGTTAACAATAATTCAATACTAGTGGTGAATAATAATTAAAGCTGCAGTACGTAACTTTTGGTGCTCTAACGGTTAATAAACAGAACTGCATGCGTCTTGCAGAAGAACATTGTAGCCGGAGCTACTTCTCTCTGTTTATGTCTATGAGGAGTCACGCAGGTACTGGGCTACTCCGCAGCGGTACCTATCCGAACCAGTCTAAAATAGTCCGAATATAAACACTTATTATAAGTGTACCGTAGTGATTCAGGACAAGTCAAAAACACGGTTCAGTGTATTCATGGTGTACTCGCTTATTATATACATTTTGAACACAAAAAAAAAAAGTTACAGACTGCAGCTTTAAATAACTATTTACATCATTATAAAATATTTTTTGACCGCAATTCTTGCATTTTTAAAAGCTTCATTATGTCTTGTAAGTCTATACCGTATGTACAGACTTTTGAAATATAACACGATCATGACATGCACTCCAAAATGCATTGTTTTGTGAAATTTTGCTTTCATATCCTAGTTGAACTCCATCCAAAAGGAAACGGTGTTGAAAGTTCACCTCGTAAAAAAAAAAAAAGTCAGAAATGAGCAGATGAATGGTTACAGAAGCCTTATTTATTAGGGATTACGTACAGAGTTCTTCTTATCAGACACATGCTCCATTCCAGCTCAGAAAGCACCTTACATTCATTCACTCAGACTTCTGCCATCCATCGCATGCTTGGATCCCAGAGCACTTCAGAATAACACGGCTCCAAAAATATAGAAAGAATCACAGAAATCAACACGTTTGAGGTCAGTCTTCTGGTTTTGCATGTACGAATCTGAAGAGGCCACTAAAAATACAGTAAACAAACATCAGGATGCCGGTAATTCCCAGCATCCTTTGTGCTCTCCACACTGCTAGTGCAAACTGTAAATACAGCAATAAAGCATAACCACAGATCAAGCCATACAGTCACTTATAAGGGAGGATAAAAATCGGTAACAAAGTTTCACATGTATGAAAACACTTGCAGGGTTATTTTTAAAATCAGTTGCACTTGTAATCAAATCACAAAACTCATGTCTGTCACAGGAGTGCTTCGTTTAGCAAGAACAACTTCAATAAAACTGTTTTTTTACCATGCATGTTCTTCATGGAAGAGTGTATCCGTAACAAGGACTCTTTAGCAGTAGTACCATGAAATAGGTCTTAAAAATGTTCAAATCGGTCTCAAGTGTATGTTAACCAGGTTTTAATGTAAAAGTAAAATTGTTACTGTGCTCCATTTGAAACTCAAATGACGGGTAATAATAGATTATGCCGGAATTTTTACGACCTTGTCCGTCAACCTCTGGGTTCAACCGTAATTTTTCGAAGCTTCTGACACAGAACAGCATACGTTGCATTCAGATCAAAGCACGCATACGTTGTTTACATTTAGATCATAGCATGCGCATGTGTTGTGATACTCTCCAAAATGACGAATTGTTGAATAAAAGTCGTTATTTTTATTTTCTTTGCCCACAAAAAGTATTCTCCTAGCTTCGAAAAATTACGGTTGAACCCCTGATGTCACATGGACTATTTTAACGATGTCCTTGCTACGTTTCTGTGCGTTGATCGTGGTAGTTTCCTTCCGGTCTATGCAGAGTCAGAGAGCTCTCGGATTTCATCAAAAATATCTTAATTTGGGTTCCGAAGATGAACGAAGGTCTTGCAGGTTTGGAACGACATGAGGGTGAGTAATTAATGACAGAATTTTCATTTTTGGGTGAACTATCCCTTTAAGCTGAGCAGCTGGAATGGGGATACATGTGAATTTTCTGTATATATTTGAGGAAAAGTCTGTCCGGCGCACCTGTATTCTCATGACGGTGAAGTCTGGCACAGGAGGGTCGTAGAGAAGTCTAACGCAACCTCTGGGTTCAACCGTAATTTTTCGAAGCTTCTGACACAGAACCGCATACGTTGCATTCAGATCAAAGCACGCATACGTTGTTTACATTTAGATCATAGCATGCGCATGTGTCGCAATACTCTCCAAAATGATGAATTGTTGAATAAAAGTCGTTATTTTTATTTTCCTTGCCCACAAAAAGTATTCTCATAGCTTCGAAAAATTACGGTTGAACCCCTGATGTCACATGGACTATTTTAACGATGTCCTTGCTACGTTTCTGTGCGTTGATCGTGGTAGTTTCCTTCCGGTCTATGCAGAGTCAGAGAGCTCTCGGATTTCATCAAAAATATCTTAATTTGTGTTCCGAAGATGAACGAAGGTCTTGCAGGTTTGGAACGACATGAGGTTGAGTAATTAATGACAGAATTTTCATTTTTGGTTGAACTATCCCTTTAAGCTGAGCAGCTGGAATGGAGATACATGTGAATTTTCTGTATATATTTGAGGAAAAGTCTGTCTGGCGCACCTGTATTCTCATGACGGTGAAGTCTGGCACAGGAGGGTCGTAGAGGTAGACGCAGGGGTCGGCGTTGTCCCGCACGCAGGGGAAGATTTTGGCACTGACTGGAGCCGGGCTGTAATTCAACATCTCACACAGCGTGTCCACGTCAATGTATTTGGGAGTCAGTCCGGCACGTACGGTGTTATCAGAGCACGCCATACACTCCACACAGTCTGGAGGAGCCAGTCAATTATACATGGAATACATGAAGATTAAATAATGCATATTAATAAATAACCTAAATGGAATATTAAATGAACATGATGGATAATTAAATTAATAATAATAAATATATTTCACAAAAAGTACAACTACACAACCTACATGGAATTAATGAATATTAAATGAACATTAATATTCTTTTTTTTTTACAAAAACAACAATGCAACCTACAAGGAACAACTGAATATTAATGAATATATTTCACAAAAAGTACAACTATGAAACCTCCATGGAATAAATTAATATTAAATGAATACTACAAATTACTAAGTGAATATATTTCACAAAAAGTACAACTATACAACCTAGATGGAATAAATTAATATTAAATCAATATTATGGATTAATAAATGAATATCAATATTTTTTTAAACAAAACATAAACATGAATAAATTTATATTAACACATATTTTGCATACAAAAAACTATCCAACCTAAATGGAACATTTGAATATTAATGAATATGATTTATTATTAAGTGAATATTTATGACTATATTGCACCAAAAATATCAACTATGCAACCTACATGGAATACATGAATATTAAGGAATATTAAAAGAATATTACGTGAATATTAATACATATTTCACAATAAATAACAACTATGCAACATACATGGAATAAATTAATATTAAATGAAGATAAATGAATATATTTAAAAAAAAAAAATTACAATTTTTTTTTATTAATTTTTTTCCAGACTCTACAAAAATATACTGTGAAATATACTGTGAAAAAATATACTTTTCATGGTACATGTCCAAAACATGTATTATTTTTCACACAAAAAAACTATACTACTTAAATGGCACATTTGAATATTAATGAATATTAAATAAATATTATTTATTATTAAGTGAATATTAATGATTATATTTCACAAAAAATACAACTACACAACCTACATGGATTAAATGAATATAAAATAAATATGATTTATTATTAAATAAATATATTGCACAAAAAAAACAACAACTATGCAACCTACATGGAATAAATTAATATTAAATGATTATAATGGGCTAATAAGTGAATATAAATAAATATATTTCACAAAAAGTACAACTACACAACCTGCATGAAAAATAAATATTAAGGAATATATGGATTATTAGTGAATATATTTTAAATTAGTACAACTAACACAACCCACATGGAATAATTGAATATTAAATGAAGATTCATTCATATATTTCACAAAAATTACAACTACACAACCTACTCTTAAGCAGCAACCACAAAACTGTCTATTTAGATTTTTTTTAATTGATTTTTTCAGACTCTACAAAACCATACCATGGTATTATCATGGTACATGGCCCAAAACGTGTTTTATTAGTATTGTGGTGACCTCTGACCTCCAGACAGATAAGCGTGAGGCTCATTTGCTCCCAGGAACATGGCCTGCCCCGGCTGCAGCACGATACGGTTCAGGAAGTAAATGGAAAAGCATCCGATATCCCCCGGATACTGGGAATGCAGCCGCAGCAGCAGTTCTCCATTACTTCCGGAGGTGTCTTTGCCTGCAGCCTCTGGAACAAAAGAACAGGTCAGACGAGTTTCATCTGAATAGAGCCGTTATAACGTGAATAACATGTTAGCACATGAGGGAGTGGAAGTCCTGCACGGTTTCCTCTCACCTTCCTCTGAGATGCGTTTGACCAGCATGTTGAGCTGATCAACGAATAGCTTCTTCTCGCAGTTCATCATCCTGGTGAAACATTTCTTCAGAGCGAGAGACGTCCAGCCCGGGTCTCCATCGGCGCTCTGGAGCTCCTCAGCGGCTTCGTTACCGACCAGCGCGCGGAACTCTGGGACATCTGAAAAACCATGCAGTGGTCCATGGGAAATGCTCTTTGCAACCCATTTTAACTTCTCTAATGTGACATCTTTCCAAGTGTTGGGATATTTAAAGGGGTCATCGGATGCCCACTTTCCACAAGTTGATATGATTCTTTAGGGTCTTAATGAAAAGTCTATAACATACTTTGGTTAAAATTTCTCAATGGTAGTGTAAAACAACACCCTTTGTACCCTGTCAGAGCCAGCTCTGCACACAGCGACCCGTTTTAGTGCATGTTCCTTTAAATGCTAATGAGCTCTGCTGGCCCCGCCCCTCTCTTCCGTTGGGTGACGAGCCGTTCTCATGAGACTGTTTACTTTAGCCGCGGAACTGAGGAACTTGCTAACTAGCACGTTATTAGGAAAGGCGATTTGCAAAGATTCATAAAATAACTTTACACTCACTTCTTCTGTAGGTGAAGCTAGATCACGAATGATTCACGCGAACATAAACGCATTTATGTAGATCGGGGCCGCATTCCCTTCAGAAACATACGTAATCCACTGTGTCTTCTCAGATGTCGGGAGTAAATGACGACTGCTGTGTTCATTATTACATCCAACAACAGAACACCTCAATCGCTTAGGAGTCATTCTTGTCTACATCTGCGTCAGCGGTGAAACGATGCAGCTCACTCAGGGCGGAGCTAAGGTAAAACGCTAGTGTCAATCAACAATCGGGGGAGGGGCCTGGGTCTGTGTGACGTCACACTGCCAGGCATCTGAGAACGGCTTGATTTGAGAAAGGGGATATTATTTATAGGGATTAAATAAAAGCACTGGGTGGATTTTTATCATTATAGGGTGGTTGTGGGCAAACACTGCCAACACACATTTCAGTTCAATCAACTTGTACAAGTGCATGTAGTATCCGATGACCTCTTTAAAGAGAAAAAATAATAATAACAGCATAAATAGGATTCATTTTGGAGTTTGGCTTATCTGACTGTTTTTTTTCAGTCAGTTCACTGAACACTTACTTTTGAGGAAGCCCAAGATTTCATGCATCGGCCGAAAGCCGCAGAGACCTTCAAACTGAGTGAGAGCGATGGCCATCTCCGGTTTGTGGTTGTTGTCTGGATAATGTTCAGGAAACTGTGCATGGAGTCTAGCAGCCAATTCCTGTCAGTTAACAACAATTAATGAACAGCATTTATTACAAATATAAATAGTTTCTAACAGTATAAGTCTTTACTATTACTTTTTTTTCAATTTAACACATTGCTGAATAAAAGTATTAATTTCTTGCAAAAACATTTACTGACCCCAAAGATTTGAACAGTAGTGTGTACCGTTACAAAAGTTTTACATTATAAATAAATGCTGTTCCTTTTAACTTTTTATTCATCAGAAAATCCTGAAAAAAGTATCACATGTTCCAAAAAATAATAAAAGCTGACCCACCTAAAAATAGTAATATCCCACCAACACCCGTTTGTGAACCAACACATTTCAGTTCAAACAACATGTAAAAGTGCATGTCGCATCCGATGACCTCTTTAAAGAGAAAAAAATAATAATAACAGCATAAATAGGATTCATTTTGGAGTTTGGCTTATCTGACTGTTTTTTTCAGTCAGTTCACTGAACACTTACTTTTGAGGAAGCCCAAGATTTCATCCATCGGCCGAAAGCCGCAGAGACCTTCAAACTGAGTGAGAGCGAT